AAAAAAGATCAAAATGCCATTTACCAAACAAACATATTTGTTCCATTCTAGTAACAAGCCAAAATTTCCATTTTGTTTAAGGTGGGGATTTGCTTATAATACAACATTTCTAGGAGCCAAAGCCCTTTGTGCTTTTATACAAAAAAATAAAAAATCAACCCTTACTCTTACTAACGTCGCAGTGTCTCATTCGTCGACTTCATTCCCACATGTACCCGTAGCGCTGTCCACACCCACCAGACCGCAATACGTTCGACCCCAAGGCTCCAAACCACTGCTGTTGGCCCTAGGAATAAAGCACCATTATGAACAGTGCCCCGCTTCCACTGATCAATTCCAAGGACCACCTCCCAACTTTCTGTGACTCCAAGCGACCTTCAAGTCTTTTCATTGGCATCGCCTATTTTTGATTTCTTATTAAACTGTTCTAAATATCTTATGTAATAATATATACAATTTGTTAGATTATTATCCACTCATTATATAACTAGTTAATATATATTTCTATGATAGGAGACACTCTACCATATATCTTGGCGCTGGAAGAAGAGGAGAAGAGGCTATTACTGTGTCTCTTTGCTGTAATCTTGTTACAATTAATCATAATCACCCCCCACGTAGCCATTATCATGCTTTGCATCTTTAGAGTTGAGAGCACAATCAGACACGTGCCACACCTTGACGGATTTGTCCAGGCTGCCACTGTACACAATCCACCGTTCATCTCCCTTACTCGACAACTTCCGATCTTCTTGGACGGCCAGGCATTTAACAGGTCCAGTATGGCCCGTTAAAACAAACAGGCAAGTGTGGATCCCATCCACATCTCTACTCCATACGCATATGTTCTTATCGGCAGATCCGCTGAACACCAAATTCCCAGCCGTAGATAGGCACAGAACCGCCATCGTGTGACCCCTCAGTACGCCACCGTGTGACAGGTGTTTCTCGCGTTCCCAAAAGTTGACACGGCCGTCTGATGACCCACAATACACCACGGTGTGTTTCCGGTTCACTGCCAATGCCGTCACCGCATTTTCCTGATTCAACAACACTTGCACCAGAAAATGCTTCGTTGCATCACCCTGCAGCTCTCTCCTCCAGACCTTAACGGTCCCGTCTGCCGATCCTGTAAACACCAACCCATCGAACCCTACTGCGACGGAGTTTATGGCGTCCTCGTGAGCATTGATCGATTCCAAGCATTTCGAGTCCGCAATCCGCCACACTTTCATAGTTTTATCCCAAGATCCTGAATATAACAACCCAAATTCTTCATTCAAACTCAGGGAAGACACGGCGTCGAAGTGTTTAATTCGTAAAACATTCTGATTCCGACGAACTTCGACGTAGTTCTTTGGGTTAAAAGAGCTTTTGACATAATCTTTGAGAGACGGTAAGGCTCCTATCCGTTTATGGAGTTTTGGGTTTTTCTCCGAAATCTTCCATATCCGGACTTTACCATCCTGGTGGCCGGTGAAAATCCTGTCGCCCGCAATGATAATCGCCTTAACCAAACCGCTGTGAGATTTAAACCCAGTATACTGCTTTAAATTCTTCCACACGCGGATATTCTTGCTAGCGGAACCTGTGTACAACAAATCCCCCGACGCCGCCAAGGAATACACGTGACCTTCCTCCCTTACAATTGATCCAATCATCCTAGTTCGGACACTATCATTGAACATACCGGACGGTGCCATCGACGGACACTTGATATATGGTGAAGGCTGGATCCAAGGCGACATGGCACATGGAGAAGCCTCGCCGCTTGTGGAGGAGCTCGCGTATAGGGAAGACCTGGGGCTAATCGTGGAGGCACTGCTTTCACGGTAGGAATACCGATCCTCTTCGTCGAAACGATTGTTCGCAATAAAGATGGAATTAGGATCGGGCTGCCGGAGGAGATCGCCGAACTTGGGACGGTTGTGGAGCGCAGCAGCCTCCACAAACATTGTTCCTCCGTGTTCGTTCCTCATCTTATTTCAGCACCGAAAAAATCGAAATCCCAAGCCGATGATCAAGATAGTTTGTTAGAAAAACTGTGCAAAATTCGTTGGATGTGAAGGAGAACAGGAAAGAAAATTTTGTGGATTTTGAAGGAAATTTGAGATGAATTAGGCTGTCATGGGGTTTATATAAACAGGAGGAATTGGGATAGGCGACAGGTGATGCGAGGACGTGGGTGTTGTACACGTGGCGTAGGGAATAGGAACCGGGAAACCGGGGATTTCCGGTAATTAGGCCTTTGAGCTTCACATGTTAAATAGAACGAAGAAAATGAGAAAATTAAACTTGGATTTTGCGGTTTTCATGAAGGGGGAAAAATAGTTATTATCACATTATGTGTAAGTGCTTTTAGGCATGTTTGACCATAGGAAGAAATT